TATTTGCATTGTACTAAATGTAAAATAGTTTATTCACCTGTAGCAATAAACGCGTGAGATGTTCTTCGAGATGAATGAACAGTACAGTATTTTGATTCTTTAAAATTTAAACAGTATTTCCCCGAATTTCCAACTTCCGGTCTATTAAGATGGCGTACGTGCTGAGAAACTATTATATGCTACCATATCATATTTTTCCCCCATAGAAGCGCTAGTTCGTATGTAGGAACCGGTCTTCAGTTTTGGCAACCGCTTGGGGTTGCGAAGCGTAACTTCGAAACTCGGTGGGATGTTACAGTGACATGAAGTGCCCACACACATGTTTAAGTATTGTTATAAAAGGATAATTTACTTAGACTATTAGTCATAACTATGGTTCGGATGTTCATGACCTAAAAAATCCGAGAAATATGACCTAATTTTTATAAAAAAATATTCGCTAAATTTTAAAAAAATTGTTTTGTATTTAAATCATTTACATATGCATGTACAACTATTACAGTATTTGATTTCCTAGTAATTTTAATCAAAAACCTCAGTCGCTTTAAGTTATAAATGCCTTGTTTTGGATCAGCATCAGATGTTGAGTATACGTGCTCCTATAAAAATAAGATAAATTTTAAGAAAGAGCTTTTCATGCATTTAAAATTCATTAATTACAAATAAATAAACAAATTTCAAAATATTAATTACTTTTCTTCATTCTCCTTTCTTGACAGCATTACAATATATAACGATTTGCATTTTCAAGGTCTCAAATGTAAATCTTGTTAGATTGTCGCACAATATGGTCTTGTAACTTGAGACATCACAGACGTTTCATGGCGTTATCGAAAATTACTGTGATAGAGGAGTGGTTTACTGTATCAAGAAGGAAAAAGTCACCAGGGCGGTCAGCAAAGAGAGTGCCAATAACGACATTCCCTACATATCTGCCGTAGACATCCGTTGTTTCATCAATCGAAACCCAAATCTTTTTCTCGCCCACAGTACATGTAATTCTTTTCAGAACATCCTCATAACAGGTAGTACACAGTTTTTTCTTGGTGTTGATTTCTCCAAGAAAAATTTGAACTGCTTATTGTTCACTTTGTTCAGTCGACAGGCTTCGTCATTTCACTTAGGGAATCACTGTAAGTGTCTCAGAAATGTAGTTACAAGTAAAAGTTTCTACCCAAAATATAACCGAACTATGCATCTAACTACAAATATGACCAAACACATAAAAATTACCTAAATATGCATTTATATGCAAAATAAAAACAACATAATTGTGTTTAGGATAACCCAGTTAGTGTTTAATTTCAGTTTGGAATGAAAACAGAAGCCCCAATAAAAATATGACGTCATGAACATCCGAAACCTAGTCATAACAGAACCATATTTCAGCTTAATTATTGTTTATGCACAGACCATTTTGGGGGCTGGCACGTAGTCTAACCACCATGACAACATTTTAGGCCTGTCTGTGGGACATCGAGTTCGGAGATACTAACGATTTTTAGGAACTTAACCCTTTCGTAACTAGAGGGCCTCATGTTTTACTTAAAATTGTACTCGAAAAAATCCAGTGGTTTTAAAAATAATGTTACAAAATTTCTCGTTTCGATGTGAGGGTGGCTATATGTTTCACAAGTCTTAGATAACCGATAAGTCATCACCACTGATTTTGATTTATGTTCTAAATAACCAATGAAAAAATCAAATACGATACAGACGATAATTAGATAAGTTCCTTTAATGGAGCTTGTGCATTATAGCTGCTTAGCGTTATTTATCAGTTGTTTGTGCTCAGCAGAAACTACGCAGGAGATACTACAATAAGTCGCAAAACAGTTTGCGACTAATTATTCTTGATGGAAGAATGTTTCTAGAAGGAAAGAATTCCGTGCTGCACAAGCGCAATATATATACACAGTAATCTTTGCTGAAGAACTGATGAAAGGGAAACAATAACTGAGAAGCAGTTGATTATAAAGAACAGTAGTTGCAAAACGAAACATATCTGGTTCCATTATTTTCTCGTGACGTTTGGTCGAATGAGAGGAAAAATGGGGGAGGGGGCGAAATTGTCGAACACCTGATTTTTTCTTTCCACCCCTGATCGCAATGACGTGAAGACTAAAGGATTTCCGCCCGTAGCTGGTTCAGAAAAATCAGAATCATTTCATTCCGAAGTGCGTGGTAGTGCTGTGGGGTTTGCTTCTGAGCGAATTAATAACATCTCGTACCTAGTGGTTTAAGAGAAACAACAGTGCTGTTGCTAAGTAACTAGATACATCACATGTTTAAACATAACGATGTGATGTGGTGTGCGTTATCAAAACAAGAGTGGTCAGTTATTTATACATTCGGATAAAATGAAGCTATTTCAAAGCGACTACAGGTAGGAGACAATTGAATAAAAATTTTCTTGGATATTATCCATCGTCTAGTAAATATAAAACGTAAAACGACGTTTCGGAGATGGGACTCTATCTCCGTCTTCAGGTTCCTACACAGTTGGGCCCGGACAAAGTAAAAAAGTGAAAGTCCCGGAATAAAAAGGCATTACCACACCATCCATCCGTGGGACGTAAAAGAATAGTATGTATAAATCAAAATTCATAAACACGATAAAGCCAAAAAAACAAAAACTCACAAAAGGTGGGAATAAATACACATGAATATCAGCTCGAAACTCGATGCCCAACTTGGATTTCTTCAGAGATTACAGGTATCCAAATAGGAGATAAATCCAAACTAGGCTGGCTGATAGGGTTGGTGAGTAGTGCCATGTGTGCCGCCTCCTTGTACAGGTAGGAGAGCTTTGAAAGAGAAGTTCGTTGTTAAATAGCTGTCCCGTAATTGTAAGTTATTTGCGCTTAGTAAACCACTTTTATAGATGTACCAACCTACGTAAAATGATGTCACTGACTAACAGGAACCTGGAAGAGGCTTTTTGGAAGTTAAAGTCCTTTTGCAAATAAAATATAAATATTGTGATAAGACAGAACAGACCTCCGTTTTTAAGAATGTAGAATTATAAAACGTTCGTCCACTGAGGTTTGATTAAAAAAATGTTCACAATCGTGAAATGTACATATTAATTATGATAAAAAATACGAAAAGAAATTGGTATGAAATGGATTAAAAATTAAATTTAACCTCTCGATTCCGGCATCATTAACTGAGATTCGTGTAGAATTTGATATTTTCACGGCAGTGAGTTTTAAGATAGCTGTCTTCTGGGCGATGAGCCCTGATGATGGAGGCAGCAAAGACCTCTGAAACGTCGGTAAACTTCTACCATACTACACGGTGCATTAACCCAGAAGACAGCCATCTTCAACTGATTCGTGCTCTAAAGATTTTAAACATGCATAAACCGAATCGGAGCAAGCTAAACCTGACTTTCTCTTTCCCAGGTACCGGAAAAGTAAATTCAAACTGTAAAATAAACTTGTATTGTTGATCCCAAAACTCTAATCCCTTAAATATCTGTATATTTTATGTGTTGATTAAGGAAGTAAACCTTTGATAAAGGATCTTATAATAAGTCAATTTATCTGGCATGTGCCAGGTTGAATATATTCGCTGTCCGTATTTTACCCAGCCCTGCCGTAAACATTTTTATGGTTCAAGCCTTTGACTGATGCAGTCATGGAAGTACATGTTTTTAACAGACTTCGTTAACGAAGAAACACACGAGGACTCTCAAATATCCCGCTAGTTTTATTGTGCAAAGTGTAAAATACTTAAAACATTACATTTCGTAATTTTCAGCAATGAAGGCTTGCCTGAATTAACTGCTTCAACAACCCTTGAAAAGCCATGTTATTTTCGTGTTTGAAGTACCAATATTTATGTATTTATTGATACAAATGTTGCAAGTATAGATTTTGTTAGCTGTTGAAATTAAATGCATGTTATGCTTTTGCATTATGGAATGGATTTGTTTTATTTTAAATTCTGAATATTCATAGATTCCAACAGGTCTCTACGCTTAATGTCGACATGTCTAGTTAATTAGTGGCATTTTTTGTATTTGTACTTTAAGTTTTTGTCTCCCCTTACAGATATAGACGGTTAAAAGTTAAGTGAACGGGGGTAGCCACGATAAAGGCCTACCCCTCATCAGCCAAAGTGAACTAGGGCGCACTTACCTCTCACCAGTTGAAGCTTAAGAAAAAGCATCATAAAGGCGGATGTGACGAGGCCTAGGAAAGGTGTGGCAGAGACTCAGCCAATGGGCTTGCGCATAGTTGCGTCAATGAAATCAAATGAACGGTTGCCTTTGCCAGACAAAACTGGAAAGATGTACAACACATATTTCCAAATGCTATTTGGTATATCACATTGTCCTTAGTCTTTATTTATTGCAGATACGAATCAGTTGTAAAGTTAATAAACAGCATAGAACCATGTCGATAGATTATGTTTAATTATAGTATAAAAATAAGCAAACAAACAAACTGGGCCCCCCCTTTTGCCACTGATGATGACCTCTTGAGTTTGAAACGCGTTTGACATTAGTGTCATTTATAGTGTTAACAGTTTGTTTGTTTGCTTATTTTATATTCTAATACACTACACGGTATGCAAAGTTTTAAGATTATGTTTAATTATATTTAGTTAAAATTACATTAACTGTATGGAGCAGAGTCCTTCGTGAGATGATGATAGTCACTCATCTGGCCACTATGTGTACCCTTATGACTTTTTGTGTCCTTTACTTTCAATGACATTCTTGTGTATTTGTCAACCTGTATTATCTGTAGGGATTTCAGCCAAAAATATTTATGTTAATTTAATCACTACATGTATTTTTGTGACAAAATACGTGGCTGTCAGTGGATTAATCAAATAATTTTATCTTGATTCTTCTGAGGTAACGAAACCCAGAAACACTTAAAATTATAATTCGTGTATATTGTCATCCTTAACGTGTTCTATGAAAGTGTTTTCTTTTTATGTAATGCATTTGAAAGTATCATCCTGTTCTCTTTTTTGCAGGTAAGTCGACTCTAGTTCGTTGATAGACGATGTATTTGCTGATATCATCATGGCCATGGTAATGCAGTTATCATTTTATTGTTTACTAACGTATTTAGTATAGTGTAATGGGGACCACAAGTTTGGAAAATGTTAATTAATTAAAACGTATTTAATAATTTATAATAGAACAAGCAATTATCAATACATTAAATGTTTTTGCACGTCTTACAAGCTTCTGGAGTATTACATTGTTGCAAATACATTGAAGTCGGTTAACTTCTGCCAGACTGCACGGCGCTACATCACAGGAGACAGAAATCTGTATACTCGCAACCGCGAAAACCTG